TTTTAGGTCTTTTACTATTAAACGTCAAAATTTTTAGATTCCATATTTCTGTATATGTGAATGCTATATTTCACCTTCCCCATCTGAATCAGGAAGAAGAAATAGACTGGTTCATATTTTCCAAACCAACCAATTTCTGTTTTTTTAGGAGATTTTTCACTCAAGGGGAAAATTAGAAAGTTCAAAGATTCATTGAGAAGGTTGGAAAGTGCTTAGAGCTGGAAATTCCCCCACTTACTCACAGTTACCTTAATGAGCCCTTTATGATAAACACCTGAAAGCACACATGCCTTTTGGTTTAAAACTAAATTTTACCAATTTTCATAATTTGCCTTAAATGAATAGAAGATAAAAGGTTATAAATTAAAGTTTTGGTCTCCAAGAAGATTAAGAGGCATTCAGAAACCTAATTCAGTCACTGAAAAAGAAAGGAAATTGAAAAAAAACTGATGAACAGGTTGTGTCAGGAAACCGTCTTAGGTCGGAAGTTTGCGGTCCCTGTGAACAGGTGCCACTGAAAGCATCCTGCTGAGCTGCCGCTGCCTGATAAGGACTGTGCATCCTGTCTTCTCAGCATCACTTTGCATCTAGCTCACATTACTTCATTTCCTTCCTGGGACCTTCCCCCGGATTCTTCATATAAGGTCAAACTTAAAGAGCTACCTTGAGTTCTGGTCCCCTCAGTGGCTTCTTCTAGCTTTGTCCAAGAACTAATTTCTCTAAGCCTCAGCTTTCTCAACTGAATTATGAAATGTCAGTGATAATCTATACCCATGGATGTCCTTAATTTTTTATATATTTATGAAATAAGACATAAAATATCTGTGGAGAACTGTTGAAAGTGATGTTATTGTCATATGTTTTATAAAGAGATTGGAAAAAAGAGCTTATTTGCACGAGTTTTTTCTTCAGTTTTCATTATGTGTTTCTTTGCTTTGGAGAATCAAATCCCTCAGGGCTGACCACACAGGAAGCTTGCTTCCACATTTAGATGAATAGGGACAATTGAAAAACCCTCTAACCTCAAAATTTCTCCCACACTACATCCTGACCTTCTAAACTTCGCTTTGTCCTATTTGCTGTCATTTCTCATGTATAGATACCATTCTTTCATTTAACAAATACTAATTAATGATATGAGCATATAAATGGTTGTACAGAGGAAGACACTCATGCAAGTGAAATGACGTGCTTCTATAGTTACGTCAGAGCAGCAGGTGTCAACAAGGGCCATGCTGGGCAACCCCTAGTCAGTGTTCACTTCTTTACAGGAATTGAAGTTGATTGCTTCCTCACATCTAAGGGAGAATTACACTTAAAAAATGACTGTAGGAGGGAAAGGGTAATTAATGAAGGACTTACTCACTTTGCATTGAAGTTTAGACTGTCAAAGAGGACTCAAAACAGCATGAGGGCCAATGGATACTCAGGAGGCCTATTGATAACATGTGCTGGGTACTTTGGCTGGATTTTATGTTTGCAGTGGCTACTTACTCCCACCCATGCAAGTGCTGATTTCAACAAAATACTTTGTTCCCAAAGACAGAGAAATGATTTCAGAACACAGGTAATAGATTGTAATCAGTGTGATGTTTATTTATTTTTTATCCTTACACAGAATAATTTTCATTGCTTTTAGAGAAAGAAGAGGGTGGGAGAGTGAGAGAGAGAAACATCCACATGAGAGACAAACATCAATCAGTTGCCTTCTGGTTCATACCCCAGCAGGGTATTGAACCTTGCAACCTGCTTTGTGCTTTGACTGGGAATAGAACCTGCAATCCTTCAATCTATGGGATAATGCTCCAACCAACTGAGCCAGGGCTCAATGTGGTCATGTTTAAAGATATTTATTTTCTTCCAATAAGATCTCTATCATTTTTCTGTTCCCAAGTGCATATAGAATATATGTAGCATATACATGTGTGGGTTTATAAATGTAAACATATATAAATATATGTAAAAATGTATCCTCCTGACTAGGGCTAAAGAAGCAAAAAACCCTGAGCACGTACACAAGTTTCTAGCATCAGGAAAGCGGTCAGAGGCGACTGTGGGATGTGCAGCTTCCTCTGTCAGTGTGTGGGCTGCACAGACAAGAGCTCTATATCAGCAATTATGCTGCAAATTCTGTTTTAATTCTTGGTGCCTTACATCAAATAAGAAACTTTCCCTTTTCATGACTTATATCAAACTGTTATTCATTTATATATCATTAAATGGCTAATATATTGTAGTATAAAACTATTTTTCTAATTTATAATATTTGTTCACAAAAGTGTAAGTTGGATGTTAATATTTTTATTTCACAGATAAAGCCAAAGGTGCACAGTTAACAAACGCTTAGGTCAATATTCGCACATGTTCTTTCATGTATCTACCCAACAGTCTCGTTGAACTCCTATGTTTTGGGCCCTATTACCAGTTGAATAATCCAGAGGTGTTCCTGTTCATAAAGACCATACACTTTAGTTATGGAAATAAATAATATTTAAAACTATATGTATTACTTTCCATAAGTCACCATTTATTACCTCATTCTCTTAGTTTAGATAATTTATCATCAGAACTGTTCTATAAACTAAACTAAGAAAGTGAGATAATAAATGGTGACTAATGGGAAGTAATTTATACAGGTGGTCAGGGAATGTCTGGTGAGGAGGTACGTGTGAGGTAAATATTAATGAGAAGAGCTTTCCATGAAAAATCTGAGAACAGAAAGAGCAAAAGCAAGAATTCACCCTATAAAGTAAAAATAAATTTAGCTTTTTCAAAGAATAGAATAAAACATAGCTGGCCTAGAGGGAGTTGAGGGAAAATTGTGGAAAATGATTTATCTATCTGGACAGCATACACTATTTTCATTATGTTAACGTGTCTAACTGTTGGAATATTCCAAATTCAAAGACATAATAGTTGGTGTCCAGCTCAAAAAATTGTATTTTCGTACTTATGCAGGACTCATCTGGGGGGAAAGGTACATTAGTAAATGGTATAACTGGACCAGATTTTTGTTAGCCTAATCAGCTGTTGAAAAGTCCTGCTTTTCATGTGGAAAAGACACATGGCAAGGATTATCAGTGTGTGTAAGGATATATTCTTTCTCTTTCTTTATACTTCAGACTGAGAAGAGATCAAATAATGTTGCAGATTTCTAACAGTAATATTTTTTATACATTTATCACAATATAGTATGTATAGCTGGTGTCAGATACGGACATGAAACCAGATCTCCCAACTCTAGAAGGACAAATACACATTTAAAAGGTCTAAGCTGTTTGGCCCTGCCCAGGTAGCTCAGTTGATTAGAGCATTGTCCTGATATGCTTAGGTGGTGGGTTCAATCCCTAGTCAGGGCACATAATAGCATAATATCAGATATCCAAAAATTATACAGAGAAAGAGAAGGTTTTACAGAATCTTAGAGTATGACATTTTATTTTACATGCAAAAGGCCAGTGAAGACCTCTCTGGGCTGATGAAAATTGAACAATGAGTGAATTGAATTAAAGGGAGAGCAAGGCATTCAAGCAGATAGAGGAGGAACATCCAGAGAAAAGCCAAAGACCAGAGTGTGGAAGTAGGCTTGACAATTTTGTGGAAGAGTGAAGAGATTACTGTCAGAGAGAACAGTGGCTAGTAGGAACAACAGGAGGACAGGTAGCCAGGTTCAGAACATGGACCTTCTAAACATTAAAAAGCTGATTCAGTTTTACATAAGCTTGATAAGAAGTCATTGAGGGTGGAAACAAGGAAAAACTTGATCGCCTCACCAAAACGATATCATATATTTACAAGACAAACTGTTCAACTGCTATCTGGAAAACGTACTAGGATACTGGCAAAAAATTAGAATGGAAGCAAAGAGAGCCTTTAGGGCCAACGTGTACCTCTTCATGTCTTAGATAAACAGATAAATATCATGCCCTAACTCACCTATAGTAGATGATAATTTCCAACCCACTTAAGCTTGACATTTTCACAAAGGCTTTATTGTAAAAACAGAATTTCTCTACTCTATAGAAGTGATATTAATGATCAAACTTTTGGCACCATTGTTAACCATGATGTATTTTGATCTCCTCCTTAAATCACCACACGTGGACATTCTGCATTCATTTTGTGCTGAGCTTAATAAGTTATCTGTATAATATTCATACTATGGCCACATGTCTTTATAGTGATCATATTCCAAATGTCTTAATACTCAGGACATAAGAAAAATAACCCAGCAGATAGGGGAAAATCTATTACTGAGGAAAAACAAGAGTGGTTTAAATGACAGTAAAATTTAACAAAAAAATTAAAAGAAGATAAATGAAACAGATAGCTCAAGATAAATAATTTTAGAACACAGAAAGGAAGTTCCAGACCACAGGTTTCTATTTCCTGCATTAAAGCAACTACTTACCAAATGATACCTTTAGAAAAAAACTCCTTCAGAAAGGAGTGAATGACAGACTTCTGAAAGCCAATTTATAGCTCCCTAAGGAAATTTTTCCATGCTGAAGAAAGATCCATGAGGATAGAGATCTTAAAATTCTTATTCAACAATAAGTTATCTAGCTTTAAATAGTGTTAAGTTCATAGTGAATGTTCAATAAATATTAGTGAAATAAATGAATGAATGGGATTCCAGAGAAATATTACTCTCCAAATTATTTCCATCTCAAAGTTGGAATCCCTAACTTTGAATTCTTTACTTAGATACGCTGTCTCCTAAATTATTGTTTATTTTCTACAAATTTAAGGGGATGTCACAAATTTGGGGAAAACCCCAACTGCCTCTTGATGCTACACCTACAGTTGTGAGAAAGCACATTTCAGACAGCAGGGAAAACCCATAACTCACAACAACACATTATACACTGTCTGGGCCACTGGAGCATAAATTAAAGTGAACTGGAGTAGTTAAGTGATTAGAAGGCAAGAGGAAGGGGGTGGAGCCGCATATGCGACTATAAATGCAACTATAAAAGCTCAGAGACTCAGACTGAACTAGAGCTCCAGCGAAGACTCGCTGTAGACTGTCTTGAGCTGAGATTAACCAGAGAATCAAACCAGAGTAAAGATGATTGCTGAAGATTCTTCCCTAACAGAACACAACATCTTGGAGAGAGGACAACAAAGTAAGTCAGATCTTATTTTTATGTACTGGTAATAACTATATATGTAGATGACATGTACTGGGTGTGGCAAAAGTAGGTTTATAACTGTGAGTACATGAAACACAAAGTATATTCATGTATCATTATTGATTCTTGTATTATTTTTCATACAAACAACTCTAATCCTACTTTTTCCCCACCCTGTAACAGTACTTAGGGAAGAAAATGAGACTTTGTTTTTTGAAGAACTTGGTTAGATACTATTTCACTCAGGATAAAGGAGAAAATGGGAAGAAGTAAACATGTCTTTATCTATGAGAAGATAGGATTCCTGAGACAAGAGGAAACACAAAGGTGAATGGCAGATCTTCGAGGATCTGTTTCTCTATTTCAGTTTATATTATCTCAATTTTTAGATGCAACTAGAAAAACCTCTGTACTAGCTAGGAGCACTCTCCCCTTTTCCATATCCATCTGACCATATTCCAGGAAACACTGACTTTCGATACAAAGCTTCTATTGTCCACATAAACCATTACATTCTTGATTGCCTTCACTTTGCATCTTTCTGTGCTCCCTGTGTGCCTCATTTTGTGTTCTTATGATAGCATTTCCCACTTGTTGAAAGTGAGCGTTTCTAATCTCTGAAAGGGCAACCATGTAAACATCTGAACTTCAAGCTGTCCAACAGTAATTTATGAAGAGAATGTCATAAAAGAATTCTCGAAAATGCCATCTTCTGCTTCTATATTCTTTTTCAAGATTTTATTTATTTATTTTTAGACAGAGGAGAAGAGAGGGAGAGAAACATCAATGTGTGATTGCCTCTCACATGCCCCTGACCGGGGACCTCGCCTGGAACCCAGGCATGTGCCTTGTCTGGAAATCAAACCAGCCACCCTTTGGTTCACAGGGTGGTGTTCAATCCACTAAGCCACACTAGCCAGAGCTGCTTCTATATTCTTTATGGGACTCTTTTCATAGATTTCATCCTTCAATTTTACCATCTAATTATTGACTTCAAATTCTGCATGAATCAGGCATTTTTTTCTTTTTTCTTTTCATCAAAATATGATAATCATAACTATATACTATTTTCCCTCTTCCATTGGTCTATTCTGTCCGTGGATCCATTCTATTTATTATTACTAAAATTTTACATTGTTTTCCTATAACTTGTTTCAATGAGACTTTCTTGATTTTTTTCATTTATCTCTCTTCCTTCTTTAATCATTGAGGTACCCCAAAACCTAGCGTGTAGGAAGTAGAGTTTATTTGTAAGCAGCAATAGAGGGATGTGTTATGAACAGCAGAGCTCAAACAATCTAGAGGAAGGGATTGTTTTCTGAGAATATGTCTACTCAACTGTTTTGTGTTAAAAAAAGTTTTATCTGCCCTGGCTGGCGTAGCTCAGTGGATTGAGCTTGGGCTGGGAACCAAAGTGTCCCAGGTTCAATTCCCAGCCAGGGTACATTCCTGGGTTGCAGGCCATAACCCCCAGCAACCGCACATTGATGTTTCTCTCTCTCTCTCTCTCTCTCCCCCTCCCTTCCCTCCCTAAAAATAAATAAATAAAATCTTAAAAAAAAAAAGTTTTATCTACCACAAACCCATCTTTCACTTAAGAACACAAAATGCAGCATGGATAACAAGTGCAAGCTATCCAAAATTTTTGGTAACCACATAACCATAAGGCTATAGCCCAGTTGAGGTGCCAAAAAGTAAAACTAGTATAATAATAAAACTACTCAATAAACAGAGGTCACAGTTCAAAAAGGTCCTAATTCAGAAACTCTTAACTTTTCCTGAGATCATCCCAAATTTCCATTGAACATTTAGTTTCTGCTCACCTTAAAGTTGCTTTATTAGTATGAACAACCAAACCATCAAGCATCAGCTTTCTGTGGGTCACTATGTAAAGGTGGATTTGTTTTCAATTTCTCCTTTAATAAGAAGAGCCTATAATCAGAGTGGAAGTATTGGGGGAGTGTTTTGTCATCTAGGTGATAAATCAAACTGAGTAACAATAGTCCTCACTAATGAACAGAAAGTGCAATCTGAAAAGCATCTGTACAGTTTACCCGCTGGATAAGCCAACAGACTGAGGTGGACTTTGCGGTCCCTGAGCTATTTGGATGTGTTAGTACTGGCTCAGGAACAAGGGCTGTTGCTGCACTGAGTCCAGGCAGCATGATGAGAAGTGAAACTAGACAGAGAGCTCTGAACTTGCTAGCCTGCCTGCCCTGGGCTTCTGGTAAACAACTGGATGCCGGTAAAAAGAGAAAGAATTACTTTGAGAAGCTGAAAGCAACAGAACTAGGCACAGGAGAAGCAAAGGCATCTCTTGAAAAATCCGAATCCAGATCTATGGTGGAAAAGACAACCCCGGAAGCAGAAGCTGATGTTGACATTCATGTGGTACATGACTGTTAGAGAAAGCAGCATCTCTTTGCCCAGTTTAACCTTAGATAAATGTTTTAAGACAAAAATACATGCATTTCAAGATATGTGCTTTTAATTGTAAAAGTCTTCTTATTGAAAAACAAGACATTTTCATATTTTGAGACTTTTTATCATAGATTTTAATATTAATCAAGTAGCAATTTTACATTTTACTTTCTCAGGATGTAGAAGGGAACTATGTGTTACTTGTGAAGCCAAATTTTAAAAAAAGAAACTGATAGCTTTTTCTAGCAAAATCCACTTGAAACTTTGAGTCGCAAAATCCCCTTTTCTCTTTTCTCAATTATTTTTTTATATTTTAGAACAGATGTTCCTCTGGGTTTGTGTGTGTATGTTTGTGTAACTAAGAATCATCATTCACATTATATTTACATTCTAAATCTTTCAACAAGTAATTTTATTGATGAAATCAAATTTTTACTTTGTTCCATCATTATACAAAGGGTAAATGAAAAAACTTCTGCCAAATATTCTGTCTTTAACACTGTTTTGTTTCCTCTATTACTGTTTATTCACATATCATTTTAGTCGAGGTATTATTAGCATACATTGGATGCACAGATTATAAGCATACAGTTTAATCAATTATAACACCAACTCCAATAAACATTTGAAATTTTCATCAACCTAGAAAATTGCCCTGTATTTCTTTTCATTCAAATTACCTTTCCTACATAGATAGAAGCAATCACTTTTCTGAATTCTGTCACTGTAGTTTAATTCAGCTATTCTTGAATGATATATTAATTGAAATAAACAGAATATAACTATAGATGGATTTTTCACTCCAATTATTTTTAAATTCATCCATTTTGTTACATGTATCAGTTTTTCTTTTTCAATTGCAGAGTAGAATTTCTTTGTATGGATAATAGCATAATTTGTTTATCCATTTTCCTGTTGATGTGTGTTTGGGTTATTGTTAGGATTTGGATCTTAAGAATAAAATTTCTATGAACATTCTTGCACAAAGCATTTTAAAAACATATTTTCATTTCTTTTGAGAAAATACATAGGAATAGAATGGCTGGATTATAGTGTAGGTATACAATTAATTATGTAAGAAAGTTTTCCAAAGTATTTTTCATTTTACTCTCTTATCAGTAACATATGAAAATTTTAATTGCTTCACATCTGCACAAACTTCACCAAAAACTACTATCATTCTTTTTTATTTTCAGTCATTCTAGTTGTATATATTTATTTATACATATATATCAATTCCAGAGTTTTGTTATATTATCTCCCTTTTACCCTCATTTGCATCATCTCTCTTAAGCAGTAAATGCAGAGAGGTTAGAGATTATGCTTAGGACTTTTTGATATGTCATCTAGACTAATCAGGTATTTAATAAATGTTTTTATAGTGACTAAAGTAATAAAACTATGCTAGACACAATTTTCATAGCTATTAAGTATATATATATATATATATATATACACACACATTCGAGAGATATTGTATGATCTCATTATTATACCTAGATTGTTTCATTTTTATCCAAAGTGAAACTAGCCAAATTCACTCAAAAACTGGGGAAAGTTAAGTTATAAATTTTATACGCTTACAGGATAGGGAGACACATACCTCCTTTTTAAATTAAACGTATCAAGAAAATATCTAATGTTGTTATTGTACTTCTGCGGTCTGCCTGAATTCACCAACAACTCTCTCTCTCTTCAGGAAGTACCTCCAGCCCTGTCTTTGTATCAAATAATGAAGGGTCCCTTCCGGTTCCTATTCCATGCGCTGTACTGAATGTGGTCTTCATCACCGTTCTGGTCATAACTCTCATTGCTCTATCAGGTGGGTCTGTACTGTATGAATTCATAGAATTCCTTTTCTGTGAGCATTTGTTGTAAGCCCAGCTGAAATCAACAGGGATTACTTAGTCCAATTAATCAGAAATTTTGAGTAATTTAGGATTATCCCATACATCATACATGGTGGATTTCCTAAAAAATACTAGGTATAATCCCATGTTTCTTCAATGATTAGTATAATACCATTCTGAGTTTTCAGTATGAAAATTGCCTATGATTTATACATTATTATGGAAAAAATTACTTTAATATAGGTTTAAATATGGAATGAAAGGAGCTGATTCACATTCTAAATAAATCAACATTTACTTAGGAAAAATGTGGGCTGCACACTTATTGTTGACAGAAAAAATAAGCCATAGATGAATCAGGACTTGGTTAGGCATTTGCCTTTCACCTTGAAGACCACTGCCCATGGTTATGAAAATTAAGAATAGATAGATCTAGACACTCTCATAGTCAATGTCATATAGTATTCAAAACACTGTTATACCAGGATACATTTGTGTCTTTTACATGCATGAGTTGTTATAATTTTGTGAAACAACTCAAGTCATAGACCCTTTTGTATCCTGAATGACTGATTCCCCTGCGAGTTTTCTTCCATCTCCCTACACAGTGTTCTACTGTCTACTGCAAGTTTGTTCCTCCACCCCTGCATTCAGACCCAGAATCTTACTTGAAATGTTTAATGCACTTTGCCCTTTCTAGTCCAAGGCTATTTACAAGATTTTTCTATTTTTTCTACCGCTTTTGGACATTATAGCCAAAGAGCCACCCTCTTTTTCTTTCTTATACCCTATACGATGATCATTAGGCACAATGGGAGATGTGGTAAAGTGGGAACCTGCTTTCTTAAGCTTTTTAAAATTTGCCTCTCTTGCCTTTCATTTTTTATTTTATCACTTAGTACAGAACCGCATTCCCTGAGCTAGGTTTGTGTGCTGTGGGTATTCAGTTCCTTTTGTAACTAAAACAATTTTCCTGTCTACAGTGGGCCAGTACAATTGTCCAGCCCAGTATGTGCCTTTAGAACCATCGAGCAGCCCTATTTCTTCATGCTCAGATGACTGGATTGGATACCAGGGGAAATGCTACTTCATTTCCAACACAACAAGGAATTGGACCTTGGCCCAAAACTCTTGCTTGAAGCATGGTGCTACTCTTGCTCTCATTGATTCTGAAAAGGACATGGTAAGATAGTATTCAAAAACAATTTCATAAAATATTGCAATTTTCTTTTATATGGCTCATCTGTGATTTCATTCTGTTTCCTGATTTATGAAGAAGACATTGTACCTGTCTCCCATGTAGGAAAATTTTGTCTCAGGTCAAAATCAGGGCTCTATTTAACCCTGTAAATTTGATTTGAATGCTTAGCTTCAAAGGCCAGAAATCCAAATGAGTTGATTCTATACAGAGCTAACAAATGACCAGCTTAACTACTGTACCTCAGAATCAGCTTTTGAGAAATTGCTTTCGAGAATTATAGACCTACCTACCCAGAGGGGTTGTTTAATATGCACCCTCTTTGTGCTTTCTTCCAGATCTTTTTAAAGCGATATGTGGGTCGAGCTGAACACTGGATCGGGCTGAAAAATGAAGCTGGTCAGACTTGGAAATGGTCAAATGGCAAAGAATTTAACAACTGGTAAGTTTCAAGATGTTTCTTTATCCTTTTCAGGCTTGTAGCTCAGGAAAACCATTTTCCTTTTTTCCACTGTTCTATATGAAGGTTGTGCTCTTTCTAAATAGAGCTTTAACTATCTCTTTTGTATACTTATACTGTTTGGAATTCTTTAAAGAAAGGCTTTGATGTTATCATTTTGTTCTTTTCATCTACCTGGAATTCATACAACAAATGCTTCTAGTAATTTGATCTCAGAAAAAAATGTGGTGTGAATAAGTGTAAGTTAGAAATATGCCAGGAATAGTTATGATGATGCAAACATGATCTAACATTTTCAATCTCATATTAATATTTTAGTGATAAACCAGTCTTTGGACAATAACTCCCTTTTACTACGTCCCAGTTCTCATCTCCACAGGGGTAAAGAACAATATTTTCATACCTAATTAGAAGCTTCTGTGGACCTGAAAAAAAACTTACTCCAGAATTAAAGAAGCTGACTTTATTTTCTTTACGTGTAATTAAACTACATTTTAAAGTTTGAAGGACACTTTATAAGTTTACTGTTGATATTCCTTATATGAAAACTCAGAGTTGAATGAATTTCTAGTTATCTATATAGTTTTATTATACCCTTATTTTGCAACGTGTGATGTGCATCCACATTTTTGGCCCACATTTTCAGGGAAAAGACCTTTCATTTTAATTTTCTAATTTATTTATTTATTTATTTATATTTAGATACTTGGGTTTTTTGTATTATAAGGGAATTTTAGCGTTTATTTTCAACATATTATGGTACAAGAAATTTTATATAAGAAATAATTACAAAACACAAGAGCAGATACGAGGTATTTCAGGTATTACCCATGTATAATGCACATCCTTATTTTTCCATCAAAAATTTGGGCAAAAAAGTGCACATTGTATGTGGCAAAATACAATAATTAACTGGTACAGAGAATAAATTCAAATTTCTAGAAAAAGAATTCCTAATAGGAGTCTAATGGTACCATATCCACAGATGAGCTTCAAGGGCCATAAACCCCTACAATTGTATGCACTGACATGTAGCCTTGTTGAATGTATATACTTTCGGGGAATTGTTTCTTGAAGGGTTTGTGAATTCAAAAATGGTCAAGAGTCACTCCTCTGGTGGCATGCCAGCCAAATAAAGGGAACTCTTAACTCTTCTCAGCTTTGTACCTTCTTTCCACATGCTCTTCCTTTGAATAACTGTCTGCTATCTCGTCTATGGTCATTTGACTGGCAGACTTGCCTCATGCATTCCTACTCAGCAAAAACAAAAAAGTTTTTATTCTCATGTAACTGAACAGAAATGACAATCTGAAAATAACTCTTAGTTTCTTTATTGTTCAACAGGTTCAATCTTACAGGATCAGGGAACTGTGCCTTTCTGAGTAGCACAGAGGTCAGCAGCACAGAATGTGGACAGAATTTGCACTGGATATGTAGCAAAGCCTTCAAATAATGAGAAAGCATATTTGTTTATAGACTCTTATTTCATGGAACCCAGGAAATTTGTGTCAATGGATGCTGCTCTCTGGTCAGACTTTTTCCATAAAAATTTTGTGAAAAACATTGTATTATTTTGGAATCCTCCTTCCAAACAAGACTGCATAGAAAAGGAAGAGAAATTCCAAGAATATCTGTGTTATCTGCACTGTGGAATAAATACCCTGGTCATAAGCTGAAAACATCACAGATTGACGGATATTTACATCCAAAGAATGAGAAGAATGACTTTAAACCTTTTGACTGCACTTTACACTTTATCAACTCAGAAATAATAAAATAGCTAGGTTTAGAGCCATTATTTATTGTTGGATGACTACCAACGATGAGCGTCCTTCATGCCTTTGCACTATTTGAAGGAGTTAGATGGCAGTGTTAAAAACCGAATGTAAACAAAGGAAATTTCAACTGGTAACACAGACATTGTCTAAACGCATTTGTTAAACTCAGAGAACATTTGTAAGTGGACAAATGCTTATGAAACTAAGCTTTGTAATATTTCTCTCTTTTTGGAGAAGTTTTCCAGGTTACTTTGTCACTTTTTCCCCCAAAAAGAATGAGATGACCTTGTACTTAAGTCATTGTTCTTTACCTTACTTCTTTAACGACTTTTTCAATGGTATGTAGTTCTTTGCCTTTAAAACCGTCTACGCCCTGTTTTACAAAGATAAAAACAAAACCAAAGAACATTAGAATATTTGTAAACAGATAAGTGCTGGAAAGTGTGCAATATACAGTGTCGCAGATTCCTATCAGAAAAAAATCTGTACTGCTCAAACCCACAATATCTGATTATAGACTTATGCCTCTCCTAATCAATTCTGTCATGTGCAGTACTTCATGTGAAGTATTTTTAGTGCAATAAACTGTTTGTTTGTTTGTTTGTCTTTTGTATTCAGTGCAGTTATAAGCTGATTTTGTGTATGTGAAAATAAAAACAGAATGAACAAAATGATTTATAGGAAGTGTTTGCTCCTTTAAAATGTACTGAAAATTGTCATACCATATAGGTAAGGAAAAAATGCTACATTAAAAAACACTTTTCTAGTGTAAAACTTTAGCTTTATCACATGGTATCGACATTTTGAATTGTTTTCATATGTATGTTTCTAAAAGGGCTGTATTCATTTTTTAACAATAGCAGACAGTAAATATTTTAATTGACTTGAAAAGAATTTATGTCATTTAAAATCTTTTTCCTCTCTTATTTTCTTCTGCTTTATTGTTTATCACACTCATACAAAAGAAGCACAGAGAAAGTAAGAGACACCAAAATTTATTTTGTGAGTACCTGCTTATAAGCTCATTCTGTCTCCAGTAAGACAGTAATTGGTCTTCATAAGCAATGTACTGAAAGCATCTTATTCTAAAATGTTATAGATATTTTAGTTATTTACATAAAATAATTCATTAGATAGAAATGAGGTGCTACATAATCTTGGTATATTTCAGTCAGGAGAAAATCTATTACTTTCAAAATTGTTTTATGAATATATTTTGTAATATACTTCTCTGAAAGTTGGAATGTGTGCTATATGTGGTATCTTTATTTTTTTAAGATTTTATTTATTTATTTTTATTTTTTATTGTTGTTCAAGTACAGTTGTCTCCACTTCTCCCCACCATTCCCCCAGACCTTGGGCTCCACCACCTCCCACCCTGATCCCACCCCACCTTGGTTTCACACATGTGTCCTTTATAGATGTTCCTGAAAACCCTCCACCTTTCCCCCCATTATCCCCTACCACTCCCTCACCCTTATATGTGGTATCTTTAAACTGTTGTCATTAGTATGGCGTATTGAAAGGAAAGGTGGATTCCTGGCGCTGATCAGTGATAAATAATATAGAAATTTTTTAATCTCAGTGTCCTTTAGTTCTCATAGCAGTGAAATAAAACAAATGGCCTCCAAGCTCTAATAAACTATCATTAATAATATCAATGTACTCCCCCTGAGTAATGTTAGAAAAAAAACTCTTATGATTCATGTACTATTAAAATATCTAAGTAAAAAGCATTGCTGTTTGGAGCCAAAGCACAGAAGAAATATTGCCAGAGTTTCATCTCTACCACTCACTAATTGACTAGCTGTTTAAATTAGAATTAGTTAAAACTTTAGTTAAAAGTAGCTGGAAACTTAATTAGTTAATATATAAAAAAGGATGTAGGACAGTACCTGGATGATGATAACTATTGTTACCTGTGTTTTATTTTGTTTTTTTCAACATGATTTCAACTTCTTCCTCTGGGAAGGGAAATAATTGCTCACCTGCTTATTTCACATAATTTTAAGAACTGAATAAATTTAAAAGTGTTTTTAAAATAATAAGATGCCATTAAAATGTTATACACTATAGTCAGTCTTCAATAGACTCAAAATTTTTATCATATGAATACAGAAATTACTTTTCTAATCTTGTTCTCAATTTTTATAATTTTTTAAATTTTATTTTAGTCATTGTTCAAGTACAGTTTTCTCCCTTTTACTCCCAATCCAGCCCACCCTCCCATCCCTCCCCACTTCCCTCCCATTACCATCCTACCCCTAGTTTTTGTCCATGTGTCCTTTAAATTTGTTCCCTTGAACCCTTCCCATTGTCCCCTGAAATTCCCTCTTCTCTCCCCTCTGGTCACTGTCAGTCAGCCTGTTCTCTATTTCAGTGTCTTTGGTTATATTTTGCTTGTTTCTTTGTTTTGTTGTTTAGGTTCCTGTTAGTGAGATCATATGGTATTTGTCTTTCACTGCCTGGCTTGTTTCGCTTAGCATAATGTTTTCCAGCCCCATCCACGCTGTTGCAAAGGGTAGGAGCTCCTTCTTTCTTTCCGCTGCATAGAATTCCATTGTGTAAATGTACCATAGTTTTTTGATCCATTCATTTACTGATGGGCGTCTTGGTTGCTTCCAGCATCTAGCTATTGTAAATTGTGCTGCTATGAACATCGGGGTGCACAGGTTCTTTTGGATTGGTGTTTTAGTGTTCTTAGGATATAGTCCCAGCAGTGGAATTGCAGGGTCAAAAGGAAGATCCATTTTTAGTTTTCTGAGGAAGTTCCATACTGCTTTCCATAGTGGTTGTACCAGTCTGCAGTCCCACCAACAGTGCACTAGGGACCCCTTTTCTCCACAACCTCTCCAACACTTGTTGTTTGTTGCTTTGTTTATGATGGCCATTCTGACTGGTGTGAAGTGGTATCTCATTGTGGTTTTAATTTGCATCTCTCTGATAGCTAGCAATATTGAACATCGTTTCATGTGTCTTTGGATTTTCTGTATGTCCTCCTTGGGGAAGTGTCTGTTCAAGTCCTATGCCCATTTTTTAATTGGATTCGTTGTCTTCTTAGAGTGCGGTCATGTAAATTCTTTATATATTTTGGAGATTAAGCCCTTGTCTGAGGTATCATTGGCAAATATGTTTTCCCATACAGTTGGTTCTCTTTTAATTTTGATACTGTTTTCTTTAGCTGTGCAGAAGCTTTTAATTTTGATGAGGTCCCATTTGTTTATTATTTCCTTTATGTCCCTTGCTCTAGGAGACAAGTCACTAAAAAAGTTTCTTCGTGAAATATCTGAGATTTTCCTACCTATGTTCTCCTCTAGGACTTTAATGGTGTCACGTTTTATATTTAAGTCTTTTATTCACCTTGAATTTATTTTTGTATATGGTAAGTTGGTGCTCGAGTTTCATTTTTTTGCACGTGGCTGTCCAGTTCTCCCAACACCATTTGTTGAAGAGGCTATTTTTACTCCATTTTATGTTGCTGCCACCTTTGTCAAATATTAATTGACCATAGAGACTTGGGTTTCTTTCTGGGCTCTCTGATCTGTTCCATTGGTCTATGTGCCTGTTTTTATGCCAGTACCAGGCTGTTTTGATTACAGTGGCTTGTAGTATAGTTTAGTGTCAGGTATTATGATCCCTCTTACTTGACTCTTCTTTCTCAAAATTGCAGCAGCTATTCGGGGTCATTTATGGTTCCATATAAATTTTTGAAGTGTTTGTTCTATGTCTGTGAAATATGCCATTGGTACTAAATAAGAATTGCATTGAATGTGTAAATTGCTTTGGGTAGTATGGACATTTTGATTATATTATTTCTTCCAATCCATGCACACGGTATATGTTTCCATTTGTTTGTGTCTTCCTTGATTTCTTTCCTGAGTGTTATGTAGTTTTCTAAATGCAGGTCTTTTACCTTTTTGGTTAGGTTTATTCCTAGATATTTTATTTTTCTTTTTGCTATTTCAAATGGGATTTTTTCCTTGATTTCTGCTTCTGCTGTTTCATTGTTGGTATACAGAAATGCCTTTGATTTCTGGATATTGACTTTGTATCCCGCTATTTTGCCAAATTCATTTATTAGGTCAAGCGGTTTTTTGGTGGAGTCTATAGGATATTCTATGTACACTATCATGTCATCTGCAAACAGTGACAGTTTTGTTTCCTCCTTTCTGATTTGGATGCCTTTTATTTCTTTGTCCTGTCTGATTGCTGTGGCTAAACCTTCCAGTACTATATTGAATAGAAGTGGTGAAAGTGGACAGCCTTGTCTTGTTCCTGATCTTAGTGGAAAAGAATTTAATTTTTGCCCATTGAGAATGATGTTGGCTGTAGGTCTCTCATATATGGCCTTTATTATGTTGAGGAATGCTCCCTCTATTCCCACTTTGCAGAGTGTTTTTATCATAAATGGGTGCTATACCTTATCAAATGCTTTTTCTGCATCTATTGATATGATCATGTGGTTTTTGTCTTTGCTTTTGTTTATGTGATGTATTACATTTATTGATTTGCGAATATAGTACCATCCTTGCATCCCTGGAATGAATTCCACTTGGTCATGGTGTATGATCTTTTCAATGTATTGTTGGATGCAGTTTGCCAGTATTTTGTTGAGGATTTTAGCGTCAATGTTCATCAGTGATATTGGCCTGAAGTTTTCTTTCTTTGTTGTGTCTTTATCTGGTTTTGGAATTAGGATGATGTTGGCCTCATAAAAAGAGTTTGGGAGTCTCGCATTTTTTTGGATTTTTTGGAATAGTCTGTGAAGGACAGGGGTCAGCTCTTCCGTAAATGCTTTGTAGAATTCTCCTGTGAAACCATCTGGCCCAGGGCTTTTGTGTGTTGGGAGTTTTTTGATTACTGCTTCAATTTCTTTTGTTGTTATTGGTCTGTTCAGGCTTTCTGCTTCTTTTTCATTGAGTTTTGGAAGATTATATTTTTCTAGAAATGTGTCCATTTCACCTAGGTTTTCAAATTTCTTGGCATACAGTTCTTTGTACTAATTTCTTACAATCCTTTGTATTTCTGTGGTATCTGTTGTAATCTCTCCTCTTTCATTTCTGATTGTGTTTATTTGGGTCTTCTCTCTTTTTTTCTTGATGAGTCTGCTTAAAGGTTTGTCGATTTTGTTTATCGTTTCAAAGAACCAGCTCTTGGATTCATTGATCCTTAAAATTGTGCTTTTAGTCTCTATGCCATTTAATTCTGCTCTGATCTTGATTATTTCCTTCCTTCTGCTTGCTCTGGGCTGTCTTTGTTGTTGTTTCTCGAGTTCTTGTAGACATAGGATTAGGTTGTTTGTTTGGAATGTTTCTAACTTTTTTAGGTGGGCCTGTACCGCTATGAACTTCGATCTCAGGACTGCCTTGGCTGTGTCCCATAGTTTTGGGTTGTTGTGAGTTCATTTTCATTTGCTTCCAGAAACCTTTTGATTTCTTCCCTAATATCATTCTTGACCCATTCATTGTTTAATAGCATGCTATTTAATCTCCACGATTTTGAGTGTTTTGGGTTTTTTTCCTTCGAGTTGGTTACTAGCTTCAGTCCCTTGTGGTCCGAGAAAATGCTTGGTATGGTTTCAATTTTCTTGAAATTCTTGAGGC